ACTGTCCCTTTAAGGAAAAACATCTTGTCTGTTAAAATGCATTTATATTATTATTATTCTCTATATAATAATATAGAAATGGAGTTTCATATTGCCTACAATATTAGCACTTTAAATTACCATGACCTGGATGACTGAGAATCTTCACCGACAGGGAGTTTCATATTATTTTGTTTTATCACCTTTACTCGAAAACATGCAACATATTCTCTTCAGAAATCTGTTCAGAAATGCATATTTTAAACAGAGATGAAGGACTAATTAAATTATTTTCATACAAGATATTTAAACAAGTTTGATCCCTGGCTTGATACTGAACCCCAAATTGCTCCTGATGGCTGTTCCATCGGTGTGTGAGTGTGTTAAAAACTGAGTAGCAAGTGACACATAGCCTCAGCCACCAGTGTATGAATGTGTGTGTGTGTGTGTGTGTGTGTGTGAATGGGTGAATGTGACTCGTAGTGTAAAAAGCGCTTTGGTGATCAGAAGACAAGAAAAGCACTATACAAGTGCAGGTCCACTGAATGCATTGAATTTTTTTTTTTTTTACTACTTTACAAACTGTTGTGGAGTTTAATCCTTGGAAATGCATCACACTGACTGGTTCATTTCTGTTTGGAATTCAAATGAAAACAGTAGAACCTGTTCCATCTTTGGTGCATCATGGAACACCAGAGTTTGCAAATACAAGTGGGGACAGAGCTCCAAGCTCATTGCTGCACAAACGCTTGGAGAGGTAAGACACTTTTTACCAGAGTTAAAAAACTGTTTTTCACTTGATTTTTTTATGTTCAATTGTGTTGGGGGATGAGTACATTTACTTATCAACCATTTCACTGTCAAGTAAATTACCTGTTCATTAGTCACAATCAAAATATCAGCACAGTAACATGTGCTGTAATCAGGAGATAAAAATGCACATTTTATCTTGCAAAAATAAACTATTTAAATTTGTAAACTGTAAAATTTTACAATTACTTAATAGGTATTTTACTAAAAATGACTGCTCCCTTTGTTATTTCTGTGAGCAGTTTGCAGATCACAAAAAAGTTTGTCATGTTACAGAAAAGCTTCTCTTGAAGTTATTGTGGAAAACAATTATTTCATTGTAGCGCTGAAATTCATGTTGTTTTGATTTTCTGAATATTAACACCAATATTATAATTATTATTGTTATAATCAGTATTATGTTACTGTAACCAACTATTTTAAAAGTGAAAGTCCAGTATCATTTGTTGTATTAACTGCATTAGTTGCAACAATGCTGTGTTAATGAATGTAATGATTTTAGATGTGTAACGTGTCGGTTACAGTTGTGCATCTGAAATACTTTTATTTTAATTTGAAACAACACTATGGTATTTAGTCTCTTCAGTGTGAGTTTTTAGTGTAATTATAGTTTTGGTAGACCTGCTTTTAAAAATGAACCTTTTCTTATTTTGCTTATTGCAGTGTCATGACCCAATAAATATTTCTCTAATTCAATTTCGGTTCAGTTAAACAATTCCCCTCATCAGGTCTTATCTTAAGGTTTAGTGGAGTTACTGAGTGTGCTGCTTGAAAAAATCTGATTGTAAGTGAAATAATTGTTGTGTGTTTTTGTCTGCAGTTTTCCTACATCAGTGTGTGAAATCGTCATTGAGACAATGCTCAGGTCCATTTTTGGACAAAATCTCTTTTCAAGAACTCGATCTTTGGGAGATAGGCACTCTTCTTCGAAGAGATCCAAATGAAGGGGTGAGAGACCTTCGTCTCCTAAAGTCTTCAACCCTCCCACCGTCTGGAGGGAACACGAACGAAGGGGTGAGAGACCTTCATCTCGTGGAGATAACAAGCCTTCTAAGACCTTGAGGCAGCAAGGAACGAAGGGGTGAGAGCCCTTCATCTTTTGCACAGATCAACCCTTCTACCATCATGAAGGAGCACGGACCAAGGGGTGAGAGCCCTTAGTCTTGTGAAAACAACAAGTCCTCCGCCACGCCGAGGCAGCAGGGACAGAGAGGCAAGAGCCCTTCGTCTTCTGGAGACTTCAACCCTCCCACCATCTGGAGAGAGCATGAACGAAGGGGTGAGAGACCTTCGTTTTGTGGAGGTATCAAACCTTCTACCATGAAGGAGCTTGGACCAAGGGGTGAGAGCCCTTTGTCTCGTGAACATAACAAGCCTTCTAAGACCTTGAGGCAGCAGGGACGAAGAGGTGAGAGCCCTTCATCTTTTGCACAAATCAACCCTTCTACCATCATGAAGGAGCACAGACCAAGGGGTGAGAGCCCTTGGTCTTGTGAAAACAACAAGTCCTCCACCACTCAGAGGCAGCAGGGACAAAGGGGTGAGAGCCCTTCGTCCTCTGAAGACAACGAGCCCTCCACCACCCAGAGGCAGCAGGGAGGAAGGGGTGAGAGCCCTTTGTCTCCTGCAGATTCCACCAACCAGCTCATCAAGGATGATTCCTTGGTTTCGTTGTGGAATTGTAAGAGAGAGAGAAAATGAGAAGAGGAGGAGGAGGAGGAGAAAAAACAAGAGGAACAGGAGGAGAAAGAGAGGATGGAGAGGATGATAAAGGCAAGAGACGAGCTGTGGGGGGAGATGGCGAGATTGGATGAGTTGAGGAGAGTAATACAGGAAAGACAGAGGAAGGAGGAGAAGGAAAGACTGGAAAGAGCATTTGGAGATGAAAAGACAGGAAGGAGGCGAAAGAGAGAGATAAAATGGAGAAGGAGGAGAGAAATAGACAGAGGAAGGAGGAGAAAAAGAGGCTGAAGATGGTGAAGAAGGAGATAAAAAGAGAGTGGAAGGAGGACAGAAAGACGGAAGGAGGAGGAGAAAGAGAGAGAAAAAGACAGAGGAAGGAGAGGATCGAAAAAGAGTGGAAGGAGAGAGAGATTCAGGAGGACTGGAGAACTGTTGTTCTGTTTAAAAGAGTACAAATTGCATGGCGCAAATCCTGGAAAGACAACATCCAAGTACTCAATCAGCAGGAGCAACACCTCCTACAGAGAGGTAAAAAAGTCAACTGACATTCTTTCATAGAAAATGCCATGGATTGCCTGTGATAGATACACAATCACTTTTCACCTCTCTGTTGATTCTTTCCTGTTAAGAGGTGTGCAGGTTTACATCTCGACTCCAGACTTAACCTTTATATGCTGTTTACTTCAGGTGGCAGCAGTCCGGAGAAGGAGACAAAAACGACTGCAGAAACAGAACAGGACGTGAAGTGGGCAGAGGTTAGGCAAGAACCTGAGAGAGTGAGGAAGGAAAAAAAGAAGGAGGAAGGCGGCAACGCCCCTGCAAAACTCTCCGTGCAGGGCATTGTCTTACTTTAGGACACACAGACGTGTGGCACTCATGTAAACCCACCTTTTCCTGCCCACTTACTCACCTGCATCACCCAAGAACCTGCCTTTCTCCAACGCTTGTGTCCACCACCAGTTTCTTGAGTTTCTGTCACAACAGTGACTGCTGCTGCTGAAAATAAATCAATCCATTAATCAGTTTAATTTTTTTTTTGATAAGTCCAGTTTTTTCATTGACAGTGAAAGGCTCACAGATCCGACCATGTCTCAACCTTACCATCAAAACCTGAGGGCTGTACCATGAAGCCAGTTCGCCAGAGCCAGGCTCTCTTTGCCTGAGTTGGCTCGACAAGCACTAAAGCCTTGATCAGAGATGACGGGTACCACGAACGGGTTACCAACTTGTTCTGTTAACCCAGGCTTTCTCTCATAAAATTAGTCAAATGAAGTGCTTCAGTGTGAGTGACAACAACATTGCATGTTAAATAAAACAACATTCTAATTCAGATTTTCTGTTGTACTGTACCGTACCACACTGCTCGGAGGAAACAGGGGTTAAATGCAGCTAGAGCTAAGTGAGTTACTACTTATGGGACTCGAGCACCAACACTATCATGATTTTCGCCAAGAAAGGGAAAGTTTGGTTTAAAAAAAGAAAAGACAAAAGCAAAGGAAAGGAGAAGAAAGCAAAGTGACTTTGTAAATTAATAAAACAATTCAAAAGGTGTGTGAGAGAGACATGGATCAAGATGGGAGGGGTAGGGGTCCCACAGAGACTGCTTTTTTTTTTTTTAAGGCCCAAAATTTGGTGCTGCGCCCCAAGCTTCTAACAGTGTTTCTACTGTGCTATTGCTACTTTTACACAAAAAGCTGTTCTGAGTCCTTTTTGCACACACATATTCATTGTATTTGCATTATCTTTTCTGTGACCCAGAGGGAACTTACAGCTTTATATCTAATTCATCGGTTTCCCATTGATCTTCAACCTGAAGCCTAATTAAGGTTAGAATCAGTTTCAAAGAAATAATGTGTCTTTGAGGATGGAGAACCAATTTCCTTCTTACCATTTTTTAAAACTTTCAGAAGTATCACATATTCATTGAACAATAGTTTGTTGTCTGTAACAAAAGGCGGAAACAGTCTCATGAGCCACTGTCAAATTAAGTATTATTGTAGGGTTGGCTACATATCCAGATATACAGCTCTGCATTTTAGGTGCAAGCCTTCAGTGTTGCACTTTCATATTTTGCTTAGAGTCAAAGTAAATACTAAAATGATAAAGGTGACTGTCGATGACACAATATGACGAGAGTTTATTTTATTCTTATCTGCTGTACCAAGGATGTTGTAAACACAGTTACTTTAGAAGTATAACCCTGCCTACCTTTGTACACCACCGTAAATGTTATGTAATGTTACATCAGCATGTGATATTTAACTACACATAGCGTCAAACCTTTTTCTAAAAGCACGTTATTTGAGTTTGCCCTGTTATTTCTCCCCAAATAAGGTGGCTAACTATGGACTAACAGCCTTTCGGTACATTTGCACTGTCCTTGTTAATAAACGAATGAATAAATATAGTTAATATGGACTATCATTATCTCTGTCACATGTTATTACGTTTCTATTAGAGAAATTATTATCACTACACCTGGTCATTTGGCGGACTATTTTGTCAGGCGGAAGTGTCAGCGCTGGCTGCAGTGTTTCCGGTATTCATGAATGCTTCGGTAAAGGAGCGCGGTTCCTGAAGAAATACAGGAGTAGTGACCGCCTCGTCTAGTAGTTGTCGACCCACTAAATATTCTGCAGATTGCAGAATAAAAAACGACTCGGATTTCCTTCTCCTCTCTGCTCGACGATTTACAAGCGCCTGGAGTCTGATCTCGGTGTAGCTCCGCCGACCTTATCGTTACAGGATCTTACAAACAACAGTCCGTTAGCTTAAGTAGCGAGCTAGCAGCTAGCAGCCATGTCGGGTGTTGTGCGAGGCCCCGCTGGGAACAACGACTGCCGAATTTATGTGGGAAACCTCCCCCCTGATATTCGCACAAAAGACGTGGAGGACGTGTTCTACAAATACGGCACAATCCGAGATATCGACCTGAAGAACCGGAGAGGGGGACCGCCTTTCGCCTTCATTGAATTCGAGGACCCAAGGTAAGGAGCTAACGTTAGGCCAGAGGTAGCCCTATTGTGTGGCTAACCAACGCGTGTGCTAACGCGGGCTCCGACTATTCCCTGGTCTACCACTACCTTGTTGTCGTACAAAACGTGGTGTGTGCTGTTTCGGTTTCGATTTCGTGTTTTAAAAGTCTCATATGCACCTAAAAATCGCCCTTGTGCCTGTATTTCCTCTGCGTTCTCAATATGTAACGGTAACATAGTTGACGTTACCCTGAGCGCGCTGCATTGTTGATGGCTACGGTTCTAACGTTAGTGAAATTTAACTCAGTGCACCAATAACGTTACGCTTGATTGCGTTATACGCAATAAAGCACTTTCATTGCAACGATTGCACAACAGACTATATTGTGTTTGTCCTTGGACAAATTGAGGCAATATAACGGTAGTTGTGTGCACGTCTGCAAGGCGGATTAGCAACCAGATCAAGTTAGCCGCTAACATGGCTGACCCCGTCCGCCACTGCGTTCTCGCTGCACTCTGAATGTGTAAATGTTTAAATTATACCGTTTTTCTCAACAGGGACGCAGATGATGCAGTCTATGGACGTGATGGATATGACTATGACGGCTACAGGCTGCGTGTGGAGTTTCCTCGGAGCGGCAGGGGCTCGAGAGGCGGTTTCGGAGGGATCGGTGGAGCTCCAAGGGGCAGATATGGTCCTCCATCCAGACGCTCCGAGTACAGGGTCATTGTGTCAGGTAGGCAGCCATGCACTTGGCTTAACGTACAGAAATGATACTGTTATATTGTCATATCTATTTGATCACTGTCTGAAAGACTGTCTGCGGAATTAAAAATGTAACTAATGTGCACATTTGTGCAGTTAAAAGTATGGTTAGATCACAACAGATATTATAAGCTTTAGAGCTCCACCTTGTTAGCTGTATTTTACTGTTGGGGCAGGTCAAGTATGCACTGTGCATGTGAAGTTAAACACTGTGGGTTTTGTTCATCACGGTTTCTTTGAATAAATGCAAATAATTCAGGTAAAGCACCAGAAATTCATTTGGAGAACAACTATTGTTAGTAGGAAATTGTTTCAGGGAGGTAGAGGTAGAGGGATGGTATACTTTCTTGTTGATTTGATGTTTTTTAAAAAAAATTGTTTTTTTAATAACTATTACTGATAATGTACACCATTGTGCCCACACGTGTGTTGTTGTAGGACTCACTTAATAACCTCCACTATGTCAGACTTGTTAGTATGATCTATTTACTACACAACTATAATGCTGCGTGATCTACCCATAAAAAGCACTGTAAATGAGCCCGAGTTGGCTAGAAAGTCAATTGAATTTGTTGTCCTCGGTCAGATGTTTAGAGGGCGCCCTAGAAATTGAATAAAATGGTATATCATACATGTAAATCTATATAGAAGATTAATAATATGCAGAAAGTAGTATAGTACACATCATCAATAAATTATGCCACAGTTAACACAGTGTTGCCACATTTCACACTGAGGAAGTTAATAAAGCACACAGACCAGATTAGCGTTTAACTATTTGTTTCTTCAAGCTAAACCAGTTTCTGCTTGTTTCCATTTTGACAAGTCTTCTTCCCACCACTGTTGGTCTCAACATCACAATTAATTGAGGTGCTCCTGTATCACTCAACCCTGCATCTTCAGTTTTGGGAAGCAAAAGTAGTTGGGACACAAGCGGAAGTTCTCACACATGAACAAAGCTGTAAAGTTCACCATGTGTCCCCTAACATAACTCTGGTCAAATGTTTCAGGACTCCCTCAGAGTGGCAGCTGGCAGGACCTGAAGGACCACATGCGTGAAGCAGGCGACGTCTGCTATGCTGACGTTTTCAGAGATGGAACCGGGGTTGTAGAATTTGTGCGCAAAGAAGACATGACCTATGCCGTTCGAAAGCTGGACAACACCAAATTCCGCTCACATGAGGTATGTGTACTGATTTGATTAATTGTCATGGATAATGTGTGGAGGTGAGTACTGCAGCAAATGCTACATGTTTGAAATCACACCTGGCCCTCATTTCCATCTATGGAATTTCCACCATAGAAAGGAATGTTGCCTTTTCAATGTCAAGTTCTCTTGTGTCTGCCAGGGAGAGACTGCTTACATTCGTGTGAAATTAGACGGTCCCCGCAGCCCAAGTTATGGAAGATCACGCTCCCGCAGCCGTGGCAGTCGGAGCAGGAGCCGCAGTCGCAGCGCCAGTCGCAGCCGCAGCAATTCCCGTGGTCGTGGCAGAGGATCGCCCCGCTACTCGCCTCGTCACAGCCGCTCTCGCTCCCGTTCCTAAACCTTTCTACCACCGATGTTTTGATGTACACCCTCCTGTTTTTACCTCTTATGAGTTTCTCCAGATGTCAGCAGTTGATTTTTAATTTTTGCATTTCATGTCCCGATGTCCTTGTGGATGATCTTGGTATGTAGATGTACCCCCTCCCTCCCCTCTTTCCCTCTCGCCCCTCCCTCTCCAGCTACTTTGTCCTTTTGTTTTCTCCCCCTCTCTCTCCCCCTTCTTTCTGTCCTCTCAATTTTTGCAATATAAGAAATTGTGCTGTGTTGAACTTCAAAAATGTTGAGTTCGTATAAGCTGCACTCAACTTTTTTGCAAGTATTGAAAATTGAGTTTTGTTTTTGTTTTGTTTTTTTGGGTTTTTTAAAAAAAACATAGCTTCTCATTGGATATGTGGGGTGGGCTGTTTGGACGGGGAGCCCAATGCTTAACTGTATTTTACCCTTGTGTCTTCCTTTAGACATCTGAAGAGAAGGATTAAAGTGATTTGGAATAAAACCATTGTGGAGCACATTTCATTTGTATGGTCAGGATAGGACATCTAATTGAGGAGCAATCAGGTCGAGGCAATGGTACGCTTCATATTCCATAAATTGAACGTTTTGATAGGTTTCCATATCATGCATGTCATATTTAATAAAGCCATATGTGCTGTACTTTGTTATATATACAATTTTTAACTTGCTACTCTGGCTTGTGACAGAATAAGCAGTCCTAGATCAAGTGTTGTGATGTAAGTGTAACATCTTTGCTGTCAAATGTAAAAATCTGAATCACTACTTTGTTGCAAAAGCGTCCCACTTAACTCTAAATGTCCTCATTGGTTAAAATGTTTTAACTTCAGGGAGCTATAGTTTTTGTGCTCAGTGGCATATTTTTTTTTTTTCTTGATCTGACATGAGTGCTCAAAAATGGAAAAATTAGGCCCAAAAATCTTGACATTTTATTCTAACAGTCTGCCTCTGATTTTCTTCCTGGTATTTCAAGGTTTTGATTGGAGGAGTGGCTCAGTGGATCCCAATCCTTGGAGCTGGATGGGTGGATCGATTAGGGAAGGGATAGGCAAGGATGGATGCTCGGAACGGGATCAGTTTTCCAGGATTCAAATGAGAGTTTGATTACAGAACTAATTAACGGGAGTCCCAGAGCAACTTTTTTTTTCTATTAGGCCCCCAAATGCCTATTTAAAGTTTTTCAGTGGTAATGGCTTTTATTTTACAAGAAAACGAAACTGAGGACCAGGAAGTTGGATCAAAGGATGGAGTCGTAGATGCCTGGTATGAAGGAATTAAATTTGGGGAGATTGGGAGGGGGTTTTATGTGGGAGTAGTTTCTATGTTTTATTTTGCTTAATCTTGCTTTTTCTCTTAGCATTTTCAATAAAACACTTTCAAACAAGGATATTTTAGTTTGTGTTTATTTGAAACATGAACCCAAATGTCATATGTTTCTATTAGGCGTGTATAAAGCTTTTTCCATGACATGATTAAAGCTAAAGCCCAGCACATTGCTTCTACCTGAATTTATAACCACATATTTGATACTGGAGATGTTCGTAAACCCAATGGAGCAGAAAATGAGGCTGTATCTTTGAATTAAAGCAGCACTACCTCCAGATATAATAGACAACACCAACACAATGCCAGTGCGTATGTTCAAAGCTCCAGTGTCTCAGCTGTGACGACAACTGATGAAAAACCCTGTACACAGCCCTAGTGATACCTACCCACAGCCAAGGTCTCGTTTCCTTTTAGCCCACAGTCAGTGGTGTATACTGTGAATGATGCATTGTGGGATGAAATAAGATGCCGGCAGACAGGAGCTGGAGAAAAACGCTTGCAACACACAGGGAGGCTGCAGCTCAGCCAATGGCAGGGTGGAGCATGCAGCAGAGGGGCGGGGAGCTGTTGGAGCACAGCAGAGAGAGCCAACCTACCTACATGCTTATTGTGTAAATCTTTAAAAAGCAATTAGCCGCAGCATCATCTAAACCTCCCCCCCGCCTGGGTGAAATACATATATTTTTTGGGGAAAGAAGTGTTTCCATTCGGCTCCAGAAAAGGTGAGTTGCACAATCTCCAATGTTGGAAAGATTGACTTGCATGTCTTGGCATATTTGTGATTCGAGTTTCTGTAATGATGGTGAGCTTTTACTGTATGCCTTAATGTATTTCGACTGGTTGGACATGTACACTGTACAGGCATGGATCACAGCAGGCGTTTTATTTCCTCTGCACATAATTTATTGGATACATTTTTGGCACTTTTGCGCTCCTGATGCAGAAGCTGCTTTTATCGGAAAGTGATTTTGCCAAGTAATTTAACTCCACCTGTATCAAGTTTCGCAGCCAATCTATGCAACACTCAAGTCATCGTGTAGTTATGAAGATGTAGATAACAACACATGAGCGTCAGTTATAATTATGAATCAGTGCACATAATGTGAAACGCGGTACCAATCGGTCCAATCTTCTGCGTATGATTGATGTTTTTTTTTTTTTTTTTTTTTTGTTGCGATGATCCGGCTGGCCTAAACCATCCCCATCACCACGTGCGGTGTTCATTTTCAGTGCAGTGAACGTCTTAGTGAACGTGCTCCTTTTTTTTTTATCTTCCTGAGGCAGGCACCATCATCATCCTCAACCATGACTGACAGGAAAGCTGTGATCAAAAACGCAGACATGTCCGAGGACATGCAGCAGGACGCGGTGGACTGTGCCACCCAGGCCATGGAGAAGTACAACATAGAGAAGGACATTGCAGCCTATATCAAGAAGGTGAGACAGGACGGCTGCATAGATGGATCCTCAGTGAGCTTACATCATTGGCACATGATCTGCAAATTCACAGCCTTTTTTTTATTGTCAGATCTATTTTTGCTCCAATGTGGAGAGGCTATTGTGAACAGGGCCGTGTCCAGGATTTTTTATTGCTGAGGTCATGAGTCTACAAGCCCCCCTCAAACGCACTGAATTTTTGACACTTTCATTAGGATTTTTTATATTTCATGTTCACTGATTTCCCAACATGAAAGTCTAAATCAATCAAACTTATTGTGTAAAGCACTTTTCACTCAGGCTAGTGCTGTTCAAGGGGCTTTACCCCCCCACAGCTGCAACGCTACAGCTCTTGGCCTGTAATGGAGGCATAGACGCACATCCACCATGCAAACCCTCAAATACCATCTAAAATGTTCTCCCCCCCCCCCCCCCCCCCCCCCCCAACACAAGATTTCACCTCGTGCTATGGGACTATAATGGACATTTTCAATAATTTTGAACAATTTATACCAGAAGTGATTAATCAAAATTTTAAAAAGGACAGAATCAAGACAATAAAAATGAATTCATTGAAAAAAGCCAATAAAACATTAACAAATGTTTTGAAAAGATGTATTAATTTAAAATGATTAAATAGTGGTCATAAAGTATATTTATCTAAAGCCAGTTCAGTAGTAAAAGCCTTGAAAATTCTTCGTTTAATTATTTTAATTTGCGATCTTTTTTCCTGGGATCAATAAAGTTCATCATAGACCTCTTAATTTTTTTTTTTATCTTTAAAGAAATTAACCCCTCAATTTTAAGGAGTCAATTAAAAGAAAATTATCAGGAACTTTTTTGAGAAATGGCTATCTGTTGAAGTCATTCTGCAATCAAAAATGCTAAACATTTGCTGGCTTCACCTTGTCTATGTCTATTCATAACCCAACCTCAACAATATTTTTATATTACTACACTTTTTTTTGAGTTTATCAATGGACGGACTGCATTTCAGGGATAATTTTAGGATTTCAAGTGACAAATTAATTAATTTGAATTGAGTAAAAGGTGCTGATTTGATGCCTTTTGATCATATGATTGTAAAATCATTAGGTCTAAGACTGTTGGTCAAATAAAACTAGCAGTTTGAAGGTAATTATCCAGTGCTCTGGCACTATTTTTTGACATTTAATACTTTAAATGATAATCAATTAATTGAGAAAATAACTGGCAGATTTGTGCCTGAAATACTGATAATAGAAGTTAGTGGCAGACACTGCCTCAGTATCTTCAGTGGGAGATATGACCTTAGTTATGATATACAAGCCAGGATTTGCACATTGCAGCAGTTGGTTCTGGGTTTTAATTTGATATCCACTGATAATCTTTTTTTGACTTTTTCAGGAATTTGACAAGAAGTATAACCCTACCTGGCACTGCATCGTCGGGAGGAACTTTGGCAGCTACGTCACCCACGAGACAAAGCATTTCATTTACTTCTACTTGGGCCAAGTGGCCATCTTGCTCTTCAAGTCTGGCTGAGAAGTTTCTGATGGGTATTGAGGAGTTTTTCTCCCTGAACCTAAATCGGAAATGCACTGGTGGCTGATGTCTCCCATACACTAATAACGACATACCATAACGATGCAAACCCGGCCGTGCGCAATTGCATGGACTATACACTATTTAATATGTATGTTACAGTAAGTTTACTTTTCGATAGTTGCCATTTGAATGCAACTTAAGTAGTTTTTGTTGATGCTGTTAAATTCTAGGTTGTAAAAGATTTCAACGTGGCCCTTGATTGTAAAATAAAGGAAAGCTGTAGAATGTAGTGGTGCATCTGCTTTCCTTCACAAGTGGCATTGCCAGACCCTGTTATGAGACTCCATCTGTCGGTTTAGATGGTAAAATCATACTGCGTGCACCAGTTTAACAATTCATCAAGATTCTAATATGTGATCATGAAAAGAGGTTGGTTAATGGGGCAAAATAGTCTTTTCACATGACAAGCTACTTCATGGCCTTCCTTTGGTTTCCAGGAGAACAAACAGCATGACTTTAGTTTACTACTGATATTTTACTAATTTAATAGGAATTATGTTGTCTGTACTCGCAAATACGAAACCTTTAATGTTTTCAATTTGGATTTTAGAATAAAATATCCAACAATTTCAGAGAAGATGTCACAACATCCAACACACTTGACATTTTGGAACCAACACAAGCCAGTGCATGCATTTCCAGGGATGTTTAGTTAGTCAGTTTTCACTGTGAGGGACAATAGAGCAAATAAAGCTCACAAACACAGACCTTTAGCCTGTAATGTCCGAGTAATAACACAACAGACTGGTTACCAAAATCTCCCAACTCACCTACCTAGATTTCAGTCTTATAATCCTGTTTTTCTGCATGTTTGGAGGTTAATAATCATTATTTCTTTAAGTGTCATCAAACACAAATGGAAGCTCATCTCACAGCTGAAGTAATTTCTTTTAACTTTTGAGTATGTAGATATTGGACTGAGCTGATGTAAAGCAGTGTAAGGAAGGTGATTAAGATTAAAGCATCCGCAGCCAACTCTACCAAGGCTACCAACACCCCTGTGTTTTAGATGGTTGTGTCGTCCTGTGTAGCTTGTGATACCTTCAAGTTGCATTTACCCCCAACTTTTATTTTTGCATTGCCAGTGTACTGCCAGACACTCAGTGTAAGACGAAGGAGTTCTTAAAGCAGCTG